ACACACACACACACACACACACACACACAGCCGTTAGCTGTTAACATCCACATTATGTTCTGAAACCTGCCCGGTATGTTGGCTTAGTTGTTTCTGGGTGTCAGAACATTCAGAACTTGCCAGAAAGGTACACTGGCTTTGAAAAGACAAGTTGCAGCTCCCTCCTCACATTGGTTATGAAGTGTTTTGTAATCAAACTGTGAAGAGGAGGCCGCAGTACGCAGGGTCATAGACCATTTTTACTGACACCATATTTTTACCATTTATTTTATGTTTTACGGACAGTCAAATTGATTTACAGATTTACTGCAGACTGTCTGTAAATTTACAAATGTTTGGCACCCTGACAACATGGGAAATCGTTCCATTAAATGTGCCACCTATACTTCTAGAACAGGGGTGTCCTGGGGGGCTGGAGCCCTGTGTATCTTAGTTCTTTCCCTCTTCCACCACAAATGATTCAGCTCAAGAGCTGTGCTGTAATTAGCACAAGGAGTCGAATCAGGTGTGTTAAATGAGGGTAAACCCAAAAATGCGCAGGGCTCCGGCCCCCCAGGACTGGAGTTTGACACCCCTGCTCTAGAATGTTCACCTCAGTGTTATTGGTGTGACGGTTCTGACACCGAAACTGTGATATAAACGTTCCCGATCTCGCGTTACGGTTCCAGAAGATAGAACTGAAACACTGTCCCGCTAGGCGAGTTTCATTAGCTCACCATGGATAATAACCCTGAAAAATCTCTGCGGCACACAAAAAATTCCCAGATCCACCCCCCCTCACTTTTTTTTATTCACCCTCCACCCAAAAAAAAAAATTTAAAAATCGAGGAATGAACTGAGCCATGGCTCAATAATGAAGGTCTGAACCGAACTGTGGATCCGGAGAATCTTTGACTAACTGTTGCCGTTTGTGTGTGTGTCTGTGTCAATCTGCGTCTGCGTCTGTGTCTGTTTCTGTCTGTGTCTGTGTCTATCTGTGTCTGTGTCTATCTGCGTCTGTGCCTGTGTCTATCTGTGTGTGTGTGTGTGTGTGTGTCTGTGTCTATCTGCGTCTGTGCCTGTGTCTATCTGTGTATGTATGTATGTGTGTGTGTGTGTGTGTGTGTGTGTCTTCAGCTGGCTGGTCTATGATCAGCCGGGGTTCCAGGCTCCTGTGGCGGTGTTGGAAGCTGGAGAGTTCCCCTGTCACACGTCCTGGGGGTTCCCTGATCCATTCATCGGGTCCCTGCGACCTCTCAGAATGGTGAGTCTATACGTGTCAGACTTCCGAGACGCGTGCTGGTATGTTTGTGTAGGGAGGAAGTCCCGCCTTGCCGACCTGTGACGTCCCGCGTCGCGTGTCTGATGTAGTGGGTGTTTCTCCTGTAAGCACAGTGCTCCCTTGAAGCTGGTTTCCACACACCTTGCCAGTCAGTCTGCTTGTGCTTTTCCTGCTCATCCACATTTTTTCTCCACAATTAACTGGGTGACATATTTCACCTGAAAGGTGTGCTTGTTTCCCTCGTATAACATGTCGAGTGCGGTGTCCGCTGGCTTCCCTTGTGTAAAACCAGCCTCTACTCTCTTTTCAGGGTGGAATCAAGGTGGAAAACCCTAACGAACTCAAGGTTTGTCCTGCTTCACTCTGCTTTGACTGGACACTCGTAACAGTAGTTATTCCGTCACCATGAGCTCCTTTTGCGGATGCCACCCACGGTCGTCCTGCTGCTGGAGGAAAAGCCCCGAGCTCATGTCTGCGCGTCCTGCTGGCTCTTTTATCCAGTGCAGGTTACATTTGGTACAGCTAGATATTCTGGTGGAGCGGTTTAGCACCTGAGATCACACTGGGAATCTCCCAGTTTGGTGGCCGCCTGCCGCACACACAGCGTTCCCCATTTTACTCGCATTTTAGACCGTTTCTCACCCTAACGGTTTATTCGGCTCCCTTGTCCTGAGGGGTGAACCTCTGCCCTTGGGCGCTTTAGCCCATAAGCGGCTCCCTGATCGGGCCCCTCTATGGGGTGGGTATGTGGGATCATGTTTCCCAGCGAATCCTGAGATGCCCAAAGGCATCATCTCTGATGTTTCACCCCTCTGTCTGTAACCCACGGTGCTTCATTCAGCCATATCTAACAGTCATATTTTTTTTTTCCAGAGCTGCATGATTTAGTTGATTAAAAACCGGTGACTCATTAACTTCAGGAGTGTGTTCTCCATACTTTGAGGAAGAGAGATGAGCCAAGCATGGCTTTGTGTGGGGAGGGGGCACAGGGAGCAGGAACGTGTGGAATCCGGAACATTCCTTGACAGGCATGGGCGAGACGCAGGTTGCCCAATGGGAAAACCTCCCAGCTCAGATTTCACAGGGCAATCTCTGAACCCTGTTTCAGGTGCTGGCGTATGAGAGGCCGGGCTTTGAGGGGGAGAGTCTGGAGATCTCTAGCGAGGTGGTCAGCTTCATGGAGGAACGGGCTGGAGACAACTCTGAGACGTCCACCATGGAGCAAAGGAAGCTGACTTCCGTGGGATCCCTCAAAGTCCTCGGCGGGCTGTAAGCTCCATCAGATGGACTTCCACGGTTTCAGGAGTCCGACGTTGACTCCCGTGGTCCTCATATTTCCTGTCTCCCCACACGATGCAGATGGGTTGGCTACGACAGCCCAGGGTTCGAGGGCCACCAGTCTATCCTCGAGGAGGGCGAGTATGAGGACTCGAAGGACTGGGGAGGCGGCAGCCTGCTCTCCCTGCGGCCCCTGTTTGCTGTAAGTCAGATGGCATGCGGACAGGCTTCAGTATGCAATCGCATGCCGTTGGGGAGAAGGAAAATGCTACTTCTCAGGTTTCAGGTTGCAAATTTAGTTTGTGACATACAAACACACGCGATACATGCGTGTAGTGGAGTGGAAGGCGGAAGGACAGCATCTTCCTCTCCCGCTCATGACGGTGATCCAGGTCTGACCAGTCGCTCCAGGAAGGTGACCCCTGTCATCCTGTATCCTCTCTCCTCCAGGACTTCCTGTCCCCACACCTGAAGATGTTCAGCGAGAGAGACTTTGGCGAGAGAGGAGTCAATATTGACCTGCTGTGTCCAGTTCCCAACATGGAGGAGACTGGTTTTGGCATGAAGACACAGTCCATGGAGGTCGTTTCGGGCGTGTAAGAAGCCTTGATGGTCGTTTCTTCATAGATCAGCTGCAGTAGCAGTTACCCTTCCAGCGTGTGTGTGTGTGTGTGTGTGTGTGTGTGAGGTCCGAGGCCTCGCCATTCTGCGTTAGTGATTTACTGAAGTAGCCACATTCCTACAGATGCTCATATTCTTTGAGGTTCAGTTGATCCCGCAGTGATGCTGCATGCACACAGAGCTGCAGTCTGACTGGACCGTCGCACATCATTCTGAGGGGGTAGGGGGCGCTGTCCTGTGATCAGGAGTGGGTACAGACACCGAACGGGAAGCCTTGCTTTTTTGTTTGCCCCCACGGCCTCATGGTTAAATTAAACCCCATCCTTTGTGGTAAGCTTACATTTTAAAAGAAGCACGCTCCTGTTTACTGGGCCCTGATTTGCTGGAAGGTTGCCCGTCCCTTCCTCCGATTGGTGCCGTGGTGGCACACCCAACGCAGAATAAGCCCCCGCAGCGGGGAGGGAGAGCGGCGGGTGCTGCCCAGCCGCACATTTTTCTAGAATCCCTTGTGTACGGCGCGGCACAAAGGCTGCTTCTGTCCAGGCAGGTTCAGGCTTTCCGAGGAGGCAGCAGAACGCCCAGCCACGATGCCGCATAACAGAAACGGCTGGACAGCCGCCCCACCCTTCGGCCCCCACCGCCGTCACCAAGCATGTGGTCGCCCTGGCAACACAGCCCTTCCTGAGTTCCTAGACTTTTACGCTGTTTTGTATGCAAATCGGGTGCAGTGACCTTTGGGATAATTGCTCCACAAGTGAGTGTGTGTGCTCTGGGATTATGGCGTTTTGTGTGGCAGACCTCCGCATTGACAGTAATGGTTTAGCGGATACTGTGGGCTTCTCCCCCCGCCCGGCACGTCGGGCACTGCCATGATCTTTTACAGATGTTTTCCACTGAGGCTGCTCCTTTCCTGGCTGTGGGTACATACCCGCCCTACACCCCACGCTCTGTGCCTTGGCTTTCCTCTGACCTATTTACAGAGGGGTTCTTGTTTCTTGCTTTGTCCTGTTGTGCTGTTCCTCCTTGGATTTCACCTTTTATCCACTCTGTTGGTCTGTTTTGATCACAGCTGGCTGGCTTTCGAGAACCCTGGCTTTTCCGGCAACCACTACGTCCTGGAAAAAGGCCTGTACTCCAGCCCCGAGGATTGGGGCGCCCGGCATGCGACGATCGGCTCCGTCCAGCCCGTGATTCTGGTAAAGCTGCACATTTTACTGCCATAATGCAGTGTGTACTCTGTGCCCCCCTGAGTGCAGAGTTACAGCAGTTGGGTTAGGCCTCGGCGAGGCGCCTGGCTCAGTGCCGTTAGCTTGTCAGCCGGAGGTGGTATCTCACTGCGCTGGGGCACTGAAGTTAAAATCTGAGATTGTTTTCATTATTTGTTTCCATCAGGAAATTTTAAGTGGACTGCCCAAGTTTAAGGTGAGTGTGGCCGGCTATCTATCTTTCCTGCTTTTGTGTTTAATGGGTTGGGGGCGGGGGGGGGGGGTCCTCCGTTTTGATCTCACACCCATCCACGCTAGCGTTAGCATGAGGAGTTACCGGATGACGTCTGTAGCGCAGGTCTGATCAGCGTGTCTCCACCTCAGGTCCAGCTCTTCTCAGAGCCCAAATTCCAGGGCAGCGTCCACCTTCTGGAGGACAACGGGCCGGAGCTGCCTGAGGGCTTCTTCCCGCGCTCCTGTAAAGTCCTGGCAGGCAGGTGGGTCTCCCCCCCCCCCCCCCCCCCCCCTTTTCTCTCATTAAAACAGGCACTACATTTTTTTTTTTTTTTTTTTTTTTTTTTTTTTTTTTTTTTTTTTTTGATGTAACGCACAAGCACCACAAGGTGGCAGCACTCCAGTTGTGCAGAGCATCGAAAACACTAGTCACACAGANTTTCAGATTCTCCCTCCCTATCAGACACGCTTGGGCACATCCTGCTTTTTACTGAACAGCTTCCAAAATAAAGAAAACAAAAAGAACAATAACTACTGGGAACACAAGGTCTCTGAGAGAGCAGACATTGCCCCCCCCCCGTGTGCCTGTTTATCTGCTCCGTGCCCCCCAGGCATAACGAGCTTGCCGTGTCACATGGCTCCCCTCGCCGCATCGCCCGCTGACGCTTCTGCTGTCTCCGAGCTGCGTTAGTGTCTTGTAAGCTTTGCAGTAACTTTCCATTTGCTCCCGCGCCCAAACAGGCCCCACTGGCGCTGTGTGCGTGTCACACCAGCACTCTCTCGGCTTAAAGCCCGCGGACATCTGCGGCCGCTGCTTCTTTTTCTCTGCAGAGTTTCTCAGCTGTCTACAGTTTCGACATATAGGTCATGTGATAGTAGGGTCATGTGATAGCAGGGTCATGTGACCAGGCCCTGTTTGCAGCCGCATAAGCAGTATGGCTGGTGACAGGTGGTAACACGCTGTCTCACTGAGACCCTTTGAATGTTTAAACGCGGGGACAGCGCAGGGCACCCTTTCTGCCGTAACCCGAGCCCCCGGTGCTGTGTTTCAGCTGGGTGGCATTCGAGGAGGAGCAGTTTCTGGGCCCCATGTACGTCATTGAGGAAGGCAGCTACGGCAGCCTGGAAGCCATGGGCTGCCCCCACCAGGACGTGCGGATCCGCTCCCTGCAGACCACCGGCTTTGTGAGTCCCCCCCCCAACGCACGTGTCTTTACCGGAATCCCAGGGGCCCAAACAGCCATGGAACTTTAACATGCCTCTGCCCCCCCCCCCCACCGTACTGCTCCCACGCAGGAATTCTCGTTGCCCTCCATCACCCTGTTTTCCAAGCCTGGCTTCAGGGGGAAGAAGGTGGTTCTGAAGGACGGTTCTGTGAACCTGCCGCTCTCCGGCTGTGACGGCATCATCTACTCACTGCAGGTGGAAGGGGGCATGTAAGTCAGGGCCGCTTGAGCGAGGGAGCTTAGCACCTGCTGGCACTTCCAGTGGGGGTAGGAAAGGGGGCACTAGTTTCTTTGAATCTTGTTTCTCAGACAACTGGGAGGTTCCAGGCATGGGGTGTGGGGGTGAGCCAGACCCCACACACATGGCCTCGACGCAGTAGCCAGTGCGCAGGGAGGCCCAGACACGCCACACAGATGGCCTCGCCGCAGTAGCCAGTGCGCAGGGAGGCCCAGACACCCCACACAAATGGCCAGTGCGCAGGGAGGCCCAGACACGCCACACAGATGGCCTCGCCGCAGTAGCCAGTGCGCAGGGAGGCCCAGACATGCCACACAGATGGGCTCGCTGCAGTAGCCAGTGCGCAGGGAGACCCAGACACGCCACACAGATGGCCTCGCCGCAGTAGCCAGTGCGCAGGGAGGCCCAGACACGCCACACAGATGGCCTTGCCGCAGTAGCCAGTGCGCAGGGAGGCCCAGACACGCCACACACATGGCCTCGACGCAGTAGCCAGTGCGCAGGGAGGCCCAGACACGCCACACAGATGGCGTTGCCGCAGTAGCCAGTGCGCAGGGAGGCCCAGACACGCCACACAGATGGCCTCGACGCAGTAGCCAGTGCGCAGGGAGGCCCAGACACGCCACACAGATGGCCTCGACGCAGTAGCCAGTGCGCAGGGAGGCCCAGACACGCCACACAGATGGCCTTGCCGCAGTAGCCAGTGCGCAGGGAGGCCCAGACATGCCACACTGTGCTAATTAGACAGAAACCCAGTTTCTCTTGCAAATGTCTCCACTCTGTGTTGTGTGGCCCCTACCGCCTGCCCTCATGCTCTCACCCTCGCCCCATCCCCAGGTGGGTGCTCTTCGAGGAGACCAACTTCCGCGGAAGGCAGGTCCTGCTGCTTCCCGGCGAGGTGGCCGACTGGTATGCCATGACCGACTGGCGACGCGTCGGGTCCCTGCGGCCGTTGATCCAGGTATGGGCCACCCCCGCAGGAGGGGGGGGGGGTTTGGAAACACAGCGTCAGCCGGTGGGCTGTGCTGCCGGACTTTGCCGCACGATTTCCACAACTCTGGAAAAACACATTTCACTTTATTATGTTGACATGGCAACCAGCCCGGGGCAGAACCAGAACACAGCTCTTCATTTTCTATCTTCCACGTTTTCATCTCCCCCCCCCCCCCCCCCAGGACTTTCCATACCAGCACATCCCACCCCCAGCTTCACTGCCCCTTTTATTTACCTGATGCTTTTATCCAAGGCCACTTACGATAGGTGTTCCCTGCGATTCGAACCTGTGACTTTTGGGTTGTTAGCACAGTGCGTAGCAGCTCCTATGGCTGCTTTTCATGCTGACATTTTGTTCTATGGCTTTTATTTTTATTGGCAGCCCTTTATTATTGAAGGCGCTGTTCTCTGCATAATCAGCATCACGGCTGAGAGCCTGCCTGGGTGCATAGGGGCACACTTTGTTACACTCAGATATTCATATTACTCCTGGGGGGGTGTGGGGGGCAGAGCTATGTGAAGGACTACACCCATAGGAAACATTCCTGCAGAAATGGCAGATTCCTCTCGGGCCTGTCAGTACAGTTTGGGACCGTTGCTTCGCGGGAATACACCCACACACTTCATCATCGATTAAGCAAACAGGAAAAGCTGCCGTGCGACTCGCATCGCCACCATCAGGCTGCGTGTGTGAACTGCGTGCGGCTCTCCCAACAGAAGCCCGTGTTCTTCCGGCTGAGGAACAAGGAGACCGGGGGAGCGATGAGTCTCAGCGGGTCGCTGGACGATATCAAGCTGATGCGCATCCAGGCCCTGGACGAGGTTGGAGGGGCCGAGCAGATCTGGGCCTATCAGGATGGCCTGTTCCGATGCAAGGTACGGCTGCCTTGCCACCCCCACCCCCCCACACCCCCCCGGGTGAGATGTGGATGGCGGCATGTCGACCTGCTCGCTTCCTGCATTGCAGATGCTGGAGGACTGTTGCCTGGAGACCACAGGGAGCGTCGTCATGGCCGGCAGCAGGCTCGGCATCTCTCCCGAAGTGGGGGAGGAGAACCAGTTCTGGAGCATCACTCCAGACGGGCTGATCCGCTGCAGCATGAAACCGGAGCTGGTTCTGGAGGTTAAAGGTCAGTCCAGAGCCACAGAGCAGCCTGATGCTGCCTTCCGCGGCTTCCAAAGGCCCTGTCCGCAAAACCAACTGGCACTGCCGGGATGGAGCCCAAAACCCTCAGATGGTCACGCGACAGAGGGTCAGCAAAACAAAACGTTGTGTCAGCGTTGCTGTTGCAAAACCTCAAGCATTTTCATTGGTTGTGAGAGGATGGATGTGTCTACATTGTTGATCCTGATTGGTCGATGCTGCGTTCCCCTCATTCCCCCTAGTTTCCAGTGGGGTTTTTGAAGGCTGCTGCACCTGCTGAGTGCCGTTAACGTTATAGCTCGCTGTTGTACTGAGAGTAGTGAGTGGGTGAACACCCCCCCCCCAGGAGCCAGGGGCCACAAATGGCTGGGTGTGTGAGGGCTTGGTTTTACACCACCTACAGGCCATGGCTGGTCATTACTCTTTACTTTTCCAGCCTTGATATGAAGCTTAGCTTCCATGTGAAAATGACCTGCTCATGTTTGGCCTTTGACAGGGCAGCCTGTGATTCAGACGTGTGTGAATGTGGGTTCTGCTTGAGGTCCCTGGCATGGTCCCAGTGCCATAACTGGAAAAACAAGCTTGCTAAATAGTGACTTGCAGCCCATGCATGTATCACTGCAGAAGGGCATGTGGTCGGTAAATCCTTTAATTCTACTAAGACACCATATCTCCCGGCTGCGCCATGTTTATCCATGGCTGTTGCTTGTCTTATAGCACCACCATGTGGGTAACTTGAAAACTGCACTATTACACAAGCTAGCCCTCCAATCAGGAGTAAAGAGCTGGTGTGGTGTGTTACTCTCTTCTATGAGATTCTGTTGGAGATTTCCTTTTTAAAGCATCATACATTCAAATTAACTTTTTTTCAACAGGTGGGCAACAATATGACAAAAACCAAGTTATTCTCAATGAATTTGATGAACGAAAATTAAACCAAAGATGGACTTTGGAGATTCTCTGAAGCTGCAGCAGAGGACTGGATGTCAGGACTTCTCCACCGTGGGGCCTCAGGGTCTCACCGTGCTTCTCCACCGTGGGGCCTCACCGATCTACAAAGACACTCCGTCATGGGGCTTAGTTTGCCTTGGTAAACATGCTGTAGGAAAACTTCCTCAAGAGACCAGCATTCCGTATTACGCCTGCCATTGGTTGTTTTTTTTTTTTTGTTTTTTTTTGATGTAACGCACAAGCACCACAAGGTGGCAGCACTCCAGTTGTGCAGAGCATCGAAAACACTAGTCACACAGATGCCTTTAAGGACCCAGCACCCAGCCAGCTTGGGGACCAAACTCCACATCCTCCCTCCAGGAATTTGCTCTGCTCCACAGGATCTGCAGCTCATTGTACAGCCCATCAAAACGCCAAGCAGCTGTATCACACACACACAAACACACACATGTTTTTTTTGTTTTTAAATCTGTTTATTTCTGAGAGTGGGAGCCCAGCCCTTTTCCCACAGCATTCTTCCACTTTTTACTGCATGACATTTTCTACATGAAGACCTGATTTTTATATTTCCTCTTGTATTTCCTCTGCCCTCTTTTACAGAACTGGTTGTTTCTTTAATGTAAATGTTCGCTGTCCAAATAAAAAAACTCATGTTTTGAATAAACATTTTGTCTCTTCAAGTACAGACTGGCTTTCTATTCCCCAAAGTTGACGTACACTGGCTTCTTTCAATGCTAAACCCAACACTCAAACATGCTTCCACAGCTCAGAAATCACTCCCACATGCCTGACGATGCACCAGAATGGCTCTCTGCCTCATATAAGCGCCGCAATTCAGCATGAGCTCCTGTCCAGTCGAGTTTCCCGAGAGGTCAAAAGTCACCTGGAGCCAGAGGGCTTGTGGAAGGGTAGATGACAGTGTGAGCGACACCCCCACCCAGTTATCTTATGTTTACTGGGGACCCCCCTGTAGGACGTTAACCACGGTCTTCCCCCGCGCGTGGCCCCTCTCCAGCTGCTGGAAGGCCTGGGGCACCTGGGCGAAGGAGAACTGGTGCTCCACAATGGGCCGGATCTGTAGGACAAGAGGAGGAAGTGATGCAATGCAGTGCTGCTGTGTGACATGCGGCACTTCCTGTGAGCCTGAGGCAGACCGCACACCACACACCACGCTAGAAAGGAGCTGACCACAAGCAGCAGCAGCAGCCTGACAGCATTATAGGTGACAACTGTGGTTTCGCTTACATTATTTAAAAAAAAAAAATTTTAACTTCTAGGCAGAGCTAAGTGCAGCGCAGGACTTCAGAGAAAATGAGGTATGCGGTTTCACATGAAAGGCTGAGGCCCTGCCCCAGTCAGATTCACCCCTGGGGTCAGAAACTCCAAAGCAGGGACTGATTCAAAACAAACCCCATCAAAGAGAACAGAAACCCAGCTCAGTAACCGGCGCTGGACCTCCACGTCTCACTGCCGATCTGTCCAATCAGCACCCAGTAGGGCTGTGATGTCATCACAGAGGCCCACTCTGAGATCCACCATGCCACAGCCACAAGGCCAAAGTCCAAGGATTAAGGCTTTGAGTCCAGCATAAGGGGAACACCCTGAGGGGCATGAAACCCCACCTGACAACACGGTTAAAATAAGACAGGAGATGTACATACGGCCCATGGCACAGAGGACCCTCCTATGCACGCACACGTGCACACGCACATACGCACACGTGACCGTACCTGTCCGGCATCCACCATCTCCGCAACCTCGTCCAGAGCCCGACCACTTGGCGCAAAGAACCCCCAGCGATAGTGCCTCCCCTGGGACAGGTGCTGGAAGACAGGAGGCGATGCCGCACTTTGTGAAGGGCTCGTTCTGCAGGTGGGCCCGCTAAGCATTGCGTTTTACCTGAAGACGAGGGTTAATATTAAGCTTCTCATCTGATACCTTATTCAGACAGACTGCACAGCATTTTGCCAATTCCGTGGCAGTTCAGATGGCACTGATCCCAGCCTGATCCTGGGCACCCCTGGACCGCTTAGGCGTCCCCCCCCGCCTGGGCTGACCGCAGGTTGTCAGATGAAGTCAGTCAGTCAGTCACACCATTTTATTTATTTATTTACTTTTGACTTCTCCCTAATCGGACCCTGTACCCAAGGACACTAATGACATCAATTTCACATGACGTCCACCTTCCTACTCGGCTCAAAACCGTACTGAACCCGTTCACTTAAAGACAATCTAACATACTGTACAGGCTGTGTTCTGTGCTTTAAGAGTGTATTTGCAATAGACCTTTTTCACAACTTCCGCATTTTTGACCGGAAATACGTAATCGTAGGGTATCTTTACTTCCGCCGGTTTAAAAAAAATGCCGCAAGCAGCGACCTCTTCTTGCAATGTACCGAGCAGTTCTTGTAATTACCAAAAGTATTCTCAAAAGTCTTTTCATTCCTTCCCTGTTAATGGTGAAGTTCAACGTAAATGGATTCAGGCTATCCGGCGGGATGAAGGACCAAACTTCACAGTTAAAAAGGGGAGTACTTACGTCTGCAGCAGACACTTCACCTCAGACAGAGCAAACACCGTATTTTAAGCACAAATGACACAAGGCCCAAACTTTTAAACAATTAGAGGCATGCCCGAGCGAAACACTGTCAAAAAGAGCAAATGCGAAAAAAGCACAAATATTTTAGCCCAAGTTTTTAAAAAAGAATAAAAGCCGTAATCAGTTTAACAGTTTTATTTCGATGCAAATGGAAAAAGTATTTCACCAAAAGCGAAGATCCATCGATAGCGGCTCTGGGTTCCGTCGATGTGCTTAGGGTGTTTTATTTTAAATAACACATTGGCCGAAAAGTGCTTCATTACTTAAAAAACGTTATGGTTAAGGGGTGTATTTGAAATGTGCATGTCCGGGGTTTTGCTGTGTGTGTGTGCGCGCGCTCGCATGAGCGTGAACAAACATTTAATGAAAAAGCCTGTTTATTAAAATAATTAAGGCGTTATTCTACCAAAGTTTCAAAATGTTTTTGATGTATGTCGATAAATACCGGGCACTAGTTCCTATAGCTATTAAATGTAATTAAATAAACCGGGGCCAACTTCTTTAAAATGAACTGACAAAATACAGCTAAAATGTTTTTTGATGCTTGTTGCCTAAATGATTTACATCACGCTCACACTATTTGAAAATTTCGCTACAACAAAGCGATCCTTATACATTTTAAGAAAAACGTAAACTATATATGTTTAGTGTTTTTTGATTTAGTTTGATTATCAAACTCTAAAGCGCCACTCTTGGTTGTGCGCTTGTGCACATGTCTGGGCTCTTCTGTGTGCGTGTGTAGGGTGTTCATTTTGCTTCTAAAGTTAAGGTATATATATTTGTACTAATTTAAAATAACACATTTTTGTTTGCCTATTAACAAATACATCTAAAGTTTCTCTACCTTTAAACATTAACAAAAGCCGTTAATGTCTTTCCTTTAAAATTTGCATGTGGTGAGCAGTTAAGTAATCGTTACCTTGATACTAACGGACAAATTCTTCGTGGAAAAATTTGTAGCCTTTATCAAGTTTGCTCTTTCTCGTGACGGAGTTTTCCTCCACTAGTTCAGCAACATCCGCAAATGTAAATTTGGGCAAATTTGTCAGAGAGGTTGTGTACATTCTCTGCTCAATTTTCTGTGATCCCGGGTTTTCTAATGCATTGACGCTTGACCGGAACTAAGTTTACCCTACGATTACGTATTTCCGGTTTTCGTGAAAAAGGTCTATAAAGCAGTTCAAATCAACGTCACCATGACTTTTCAGCCAAACAATGACCGTGTCTCCCCAGCCGGCCCGTCGCCCCTCCGAGCCCCCGGAGTTCTCTGGAACCCGGAGCCATAATGGGAAGGTGCCAGAAACAGAAACGTCCATTCAAAGGCACAAAGGGCCGCAGTAAAGCTGCTTTGTTTACTCTGAACAAAGGAGCCCATGCTGTCATGGTAATAGGGACCTTTCAAACCCCCCCCCCCCCCCGGCCCCCCCCCCCCCCCGGGGTTAGCTGGAAACGGCAGCTCCAGTGTGAGCCCCAGCAGAGGGCACCGCAAGCATAGGGACACCAGCTAGTGACTCATGCTGCAGTTACGCCAGTTGGACAGTCCCAGCCTGGGAGGGCAAAGGGAGCGAGGCGAGGCACGGCACCCACAGAGGCATCCCAGGACCGAGCTGGTGTCAGCGCTAATGCTGCCAGCTCAGGGCTGCCGTGGCGGCCCTCCTGCTGGCCCAGACCGCACCACCGGGCCCAGACCGCACCCACACGAAGCCCAGTTACCAACAGCCTCCTCCTGCCCCCCCACCCCCAGGCACTGTCAGAAGCTCAGGAGTAGGAGCCGCAGGTTACCTTAAACATCTTTGTCGCCACGGTGACACCAGTGCGCATCATTCCATCGGCGATGCCCAGTGCGTCCGTGTTCCTAAGGAAGGGCGTCACCATAGTGATGTACTTCGCTCCAGACCAGGACCGCAGCAGGTCCAGGGCCCACTTCTCTGTGCCCCCCCCCACATTGTCCAGGATCAGGTCAAACCTGGAAAACAGAGACGGTACCGCTTATATTTAGCACTGGTACCCAATCTCTGAGAGGAACCGTGCTCCCATTGGCCAAACTGCAACCGTCAAATTGATAAGCATCAGACCAGACTTACTTATCCAGGGCCTTCAACTGGTCCTCGGGGGGTCCAGCCGTGTAATCCACCACATGGTCAGCGCCCAATCCCCTCACAAGCCCCTCGGCATTCTGGGAGCACACCGCAGTCACATGTGCCCCCCAGGCTTTCACCATCTGCGGATGAGCCAATCAGGAGAGGTTCATGTCTGCATCAAGAGATGGACGACAGCCCCCCTGAATGTGAAAGGATCACATTACACATCAGAGAGAGGACGAATATCACATGGCAGATTCAGGTCACATCCCATTCTGTGGCCTCAGCCATAAATACCAGTTTGATCTGAGCAGCCTGAGTCAGCACTGAGACGTGATCTATGACCACGGCGTCAGGCTGAATCGCAAGATTACAGACTTTTCGCTGTTAAACCATTTCCCAGAACTAAACTTCATGTTTTACTTACCTGGATGGCGAAGGTCCCCACACCACCAGACGCTCCGATGATGAGAATTCTGTTGTGTGGAAGCATCAGAGGTCATTGAACATTTACTGCTTATAGAAGATCCAGAAATATGATGAATCAGGCAGCTTTCAAGAACTGATTGAAAAACAATGAAGGTGAAGCATGAAGATGTTGCCTTCTGTCTATTAAATAAGAAAAACACAGAGAAAGACAAGCTGTCATTCCTCTAATGAAGAACCTGCCGCTATGGTGACCAGCGGGTCACCCTTTGTTTAATGACTAATTAGTGACGGTGCTCTGTGACGGACACTCCAAGCAAGCGGCTGTCCAGACAAAGTCTTTCTGGGGACTGAAGACAAGCACCCAGGGTGACTGACCGCTTCTTAGGGCAGTTGTCCTTGGTGAGTCCGCCGGTGGTGACCAGGGCGGACCAGGCCGTCGCTGCCACGTATGGGATCGCAGCAGCCTGCAGGTGATCCATGGTCCTGGGCTTATGAGACACCTGGATGAGACAGGACAGGAAACAGCCCCTCAGTCACTGGATAGCTCACAGAATCAAAGCCAACCCCCCCCCCATTTAATTAGGGCCCCCACACGGGATACAGGAACGTTTGTACACCAATCTAATTGCTCTGTGGTAGACTAATTAATTATGCATGCTTTGGTCAGGAGATACATTAAAGTCTTCCTCCCATGGAATGGAATCAGGGTATTCACCAGAGGTGAAGACTCGAGTCACTGACTCGTGACTTGACTCAGACTCAAGTCACAAATTTGATGCCTCGATTCAACAAAACTGAGTTGGACGTGAGAGCAAAAACACATAGACCCAGCTTGGACCCTATGACTACAGGACTAGAGGTTATAGTCCCCCCTGCGGATATCATAATGTTAATTTTATCATTTCTCTGTATATTAATGCTGTCTGCATTTTTAATTGGCTGAATCAAAAGTTTCCTTAGATAGTTTGTTGGAATGACGCATCACTCCCTGCATATACACAGACGTAAAAACTCTATGAGGACAACCATGAGTGGAGACTCGAGATTTGACTCAGACTCACCAAGAAAAAACTTGTTCCCATCATTGGTATTCACTAAAACACCCTAATTAATGAAATACTGCACACCTGCTGAGGGAGGGTCATAATTTTATTTAAGCTTCCAAAACCAAGGGATCTGACCCACAGTCCTGAGGGGCTCCCTGCACCTCACCTCGTTCCCACTCAGCACCACGAACTCGGCCAGGCTGCCCTGCTTCCAGGGTGGAATGGCCGCCCACACCTGCACAGAGACAGAGGCGGCATACTAATGAAGCTTGGAGCCGATTACAGCGACAAGAACACAGAGCGACAGCAAAACGCAGTACAGGCACAGATCCACATATAAGCTACAACACGCCTGGCACTGCATGGCCCCTACTCTGTAGCACTGGCAGACCCGGCATAGCTAGCTGCCCCAGTGAGGAGACGGAAACATACTTCACAAGCGCCGAGGGCACGTGATCCCGCTCCCACCTCTCCAAAGACAAACAGTCCATGATTCGGTTTCCGTCGCCGCCGACATTACCTCATCCCCTGGCCTATAATAAGTCACGTTAAGGCCACACTCCATGATGACACCGGACACATCCCGGCCCAGAATCAGAGGGAACTCGCTGCCTGTCTGCTTGATGTTCAGGGGGTCACGCATCATGTGGAACGTAGCTGCTCCATACCCACCTGTGAAACAGACACAGAGCCGCTGACGGTCACCCTGCCAATCTTAGCTGCCCAAAACCTTCAAACAGGCTGCACGCCAGGTTGAGAAAATGACAAGATACCAGCCCTTGCTTGTATCAGGGAGACTACATTTACAGTTGTTTTCTGTAATAATAATAATAATAAAAAAGAACTCCCAATCGGTCTGCATAGGATGGCAATGAGTGGAATATATCACCACGTTAGTATTCCAAGAAATTTTCCAGTCTTGAGAAATAACCACAGCATTAGGCTGCACTTGTCAAAGTTCGCATAAATGCTCTATATTAGTTAGGTGTGAATATTGCAGCATTCAGCGAACATTCAGCGCAGAAACGCGAGGCGCTGCACTAGCAGCACTCACCTCTCATGCTCACGTCTAGCGGGTTGAGAGCCGCAGCGTGAACTTTAACTATAACCTCGTTGGGGTAGTTGATGATGGGGAAATTGGCGTTTTTGGTGAACCTCAGGACCTCATTGCTCCCGTACTTGTCAATCACCCAGGCAGGCATGACAGTCCTCCGGTGCGCGGAAGTTTGCAGCCGCCTGACCGTCCCGCGTCCCTCACCGACCAGTACGCTTACTCTGGGTATCTTGCCCCGACACCGACATAACAGCCGTACGCTCGCTATTGTGCTGCACAGTTGCACCATTTTCACACAATGCTCGCGTTGATTTTAATCGTGCCTAACTCAATATCATCAATGACATTGGACCTGTTTCGCTGATCAAATATACTGAATCACTGCTCCATATCGCGATACAACACATAAATATATGGTTGCTGTTAATTTTGTCTACGCTTCACATTAAATCTCCTGTTTATCATTCATTAAAGTTTACAAGAAAGTACTTCTCTGGCATTCAAATATACCCACGCTACCGATGCCCTGTCCCTGCCATCAACTGACAACATGACCTCTGATCTTTCTATTAGCCAATAGAAATGCGAAATGCCCGTAACCGACCAATCAGATTCAGCGATATTGGACGGCAAAGTAAAGCCAACATGGCCGCCTATTATGGTTCTGTATTTTAAAGGTTGCCGGCACAGTTCGTGGGTATTAGGGATTTAAAATAATATATTGAATATGTTGGGCTTGACAATAAGAGAAGTAAGTCTCATCTGCAAAGCTTCATTCACACGTTATGTTTATATTTTATTATTAATTATTATTCAAATAGCATTTCGTCTGTCATAGTTTTGTGTTTGAATTGGCAACGATAAATTTAATTTTGTTCATATTTCCGTTTGAATTTGTGCATATTGGTAGAGAACGCGATTTCGTTTAAATGGTCTCGTTAGATAGTTGAGGATTCATTAGTTGATTTGACAATGGTTACTTTGTAAAGATGCACAATAATGTCAGAACCTTTAATATGGTTTCACAATGTATCGTGAGGATGTCACATGACAGTACGTATATGTTAATGCGCAGATTAATGTGTTCAATACCTTGGTTATGTAAAATCTCCTCAGGTGTCACAGGCCATGAGGGAGGGAAGGGTGTCTCCCACGGAGCTGTGCAGAAGGTGTCTGGAGCAGGTGAAGAGCACTTCCTATCTGAACGCCTACATCACGGTGACTGAGGAGCAGGCTCTGCAGCAGGCGCAGGAGTCACAAGTCAGGTTTCTTAAAGGTGTGTGTGGGAGGCGCAAAGAGCAAATACCCACTGAGCAGACTGCTGAGTGACATGCTTTATCCACCTTTCAGAGATGTACACAGACACGGTAATGACTGTGATGTAGTTATGAATGAGCATCACTCTGCTCCTCCCGCAGGGAAACCCAAAGGGCCCCTGGATGGGATCCCCTTCTCAGTCAAGGACAACTTCTGCACGGAGAGCATGGAGACCACATGTGCCTCGCGCATGCTGAAAGGTAGAAACTGCTGGTGAAATGTGTGCATCTACTGGCCTGTACCAGTCAGGGTCCACTTTTTCCTGGAAATGGCAATATTTTCAAGGTTTTGGGCTTTTTCTTGCTTTTGTCTTGAGATGTCAAAGTGTTAAGATTGTAAATGCAGCTGTGAGCAGGATACACACAGATTGTGCTTATCATACTACTACAGCCACCACTCCAAAACGCTCCCTGCCAGGTCAGTGGCTTCCTGCACAGCTTACGGCTCACATACTGCCTTGCAGGCACGCTACTCCAGATGGCAGGTGCCTGACAGGCCTGTCGGAGGAGCAGTCTGTGACTCCAACTGCATGCAAGGTTGCTGTGCAACGAAATGGTTACAGTCACCATTATTCATTTTGGCTCATACAGAAAAGAATCTCCTTTGTGTTTAGGATTTCTCTCGAGGTTTCCCACTTTCAGGTGTATGATAATCAGCTTCATTTTGGTCTCTGTACCATCTGTATCTTCCAACCACTTATCCTGGGCAGGGTTGTGGGCATGGGGGGGGGGTTCGCTGAAATCTCCCCTCAGTTCCATGAAAAAGTGCAGATTCCTAAAAAATTCTGCTGTAAATAAAACATATCAGTGTCTGTTTTGATACATAAAAACACCTCAATGCCCTAGAATGCTAATTAGGCTCATGCTGGTTGATGTAAACTGCTTCTTAAACATCCACAGCATTCAGTTGAGTGTTCGGGTCGGCATGCTCTCGCTCACTGCTCGCCGCTGTCCGTATTCATTATTCTGTCATTGTCATCTTGCATCTGGCTTGCAGGCTACCGTCCTCCTTACACCGCCACCGTTGTTCAGAAGCTTCTGGACCAGGGGGCCGTCCTGATCGGAAAGACTAATTTGGATGAGTTTGCAATGGGGTAAATTTATGCAAAATGCTGATTTCTTTTTTCCCTTTTTTGCTTAAAAATGGACATCATTATCTCTCTTATTTTCATGCATGTGGAACTGCATTTGAGTTGCTTGCTGGGAGCAGGGTGGGTGGGGCAGTAAGGCGGGTGTGTTTCGGGGGTCATGGGCCCTCAGCGTGGCACCTGATCCCCACCCCATGTTCTCTCCAAGGTCCGGCAGCACCGACGGTGTGTTCGGCCCAGTGCAGAACCCCTGGAGCTACTCGGTGCAGTACCGGGAGCGGGCCGGAGCTGATGCGGGCTGGACGATCGCTGGTGGCAGCTCTGGGGGGAGTGCAGTCGCCGTGGCGGCCCAGACCAGCTTCTTGTGAGTTTTGCAGCTTCCTGTGACAGCTTCTGCTCCAGAAAAGCACCTGACCTGTCAAAAGGCTGCATGATATGAGAGTTTCTTTGCCTCCTCTGGTTAGGAGTGTCCATCATGTCAGTGTGCTGCCTGGTCTGGCCTTGAGTACTTCTGTATTTCTGGGTCATCATGGAGTATGAATCTCCCAGTCATACCTATGCAGATTCTGTAGCTGACTCCCCTTGTCTCCCCATGTGACTGTCTCCCCCCATCTCTCCCAGTATCCCTGTCCCTTCCTGTCTCCCAGTGTCCCTGTCTCCCAGTGTCCCTGTCCCTTCCTGTCTCCCCCCATCTCTCCCAGTGTCCCTGTCCCTTCCTGTCTCCCAGTGTCCCTGTCCTGGACTGCTCTCTCACCCATGTTGTACCGTCCTATCATCTTGCAGTTCTGACTGTAGTGACCTTTCCTGATTAAATGGAGTGTGGATGGGTGGACTAAAGGTGTGGCAGGTGATTGTCTGTCTGTAACTAAGCTCGTCTGGCTTGTCAGCCAAGGATTAGCGCAAAGGTTTAAACATACGAGGCTTCCTGATATTTGCATCAGTAAAGGGCAGGGCGGCGAACCGGTCCCTCCCGGTTCATTGGCTCTGATTCTTTGCTGAAAGACCAGCACTTGAATAATTGACCAATCAGCATAATGGAGCTGGAGCCGCACCCTAAGATGGAGTGATGCATCCAGTCATGCGGGCCACCTGTCCCCCCCGCCCCCCATGCCGCTGTCACTCAGCCCTGTTCCTGTTCGTGTTCCTGCAGTGCCCTGGGCTCAGACACGGGGGGCTCCACGCGTAACCCGGGGGCCCTATGTGGCGTGGTGGCGCTGAAGCCCACCTACGGCCTGCTGTCCCGCCACGGCCTCATTCCACTGGTGAACTCCATGGACGTACCGGGCATCCTGACCCGGAGCGCCAGCGACGCGGCCACCGTCCTGGGTAAGGGTAGGGTTAGGGTTAGTGGAACATGCTGGAAGGCAGACGGGCAGTGGGACAGTGTGGGATGCTCGCGGGTCGCAACTCCCATGCACTTCTCAACTGGGCGGATGTCTCTGCAGGTGTCCTCCAAGGCTTGGACAAGAAGGACTCCACGACGATTCCTCCCCCAGCCACGCCCACCCACCTACCCGAAGAAATTGACGTCAGGAAGATCCGTATCGGCATACCGCGGGTAGGCAGCGCCCCCTGTGTGTGAATGTCCTAGGCCAGATTCCCAAATTATCTTCATTATCATCATCATTATTATTATTATTATTATTATTATTATTAGTGATCTATTCACTCCGGATGTGAGCGTGCTGCCAGTGCTTACTCCCTCACTATGCCAGACATAGTGAAGGTGTTTTCAAGGAGTGCAGAAGTGCATCACCATACATGATGTTCTGTTGAAATTCTTTCTGCCCAGTCATTTTAGCCTTTTCCTGCCCCCCCCCCCCACCCCAGGAGTACCACGCCCCGGGGCTGTCCGCAGAGACACTGTCCCAGTGGACTCGTGTTGCCGACCTGTTTGAGCGGGAGGGAGCCTCGGTGGAGCCCGTGTCCCTCCCCCACACCCAGCACTCCATCGTCTGCTATCACGTGCTCTGCACGGCAGAGGTGGCTTCCAACATGGCGCGCTTCGACGGCCTGGAGTACGGTGAGCGCTGTCGGTCAGTCGGCGATCAACCGTGCATGATGCGGTTGAAGAACCGGTCCTCGGAGTCCTGGATGGGGTTATTGTGATGCTCCTGTTTATCTAAGTGAGCAGGAACCCCCCCCCCCCCCACAGCCGAGCCCTGGACAGGCAGACTGACGGTGAGTCTCGTTCAGGTCACCGCAGCGCGCTGGAGGACTCCACCGAAGCCCTGTATGCCGCCACGCGACATGAGGCCTTCAACGACGTCGTCCGGCGTAGGATCCTGGCAGGAAACTTCTTCCTGCTGAAGAGGTGAGAGGCCTCTCACCGCAGCTGGGGTGCATGTGTCAGAACTGGAGGCCCAGCATCACTCGTGGAGAGGAAGTGTGTCTCACAGAAGGAACAGTTAAATGCATGCACATCTTCTTTCTTGGTTTTCCTGTTTTCATTGTTACCAACAGGCTCGTCTGCACAATGTCCTATATTTCAGGTTGTTTTGGTTGCATTGTGTAGCAGTTTGATCCCCATTAGAAGAACGGTCTGTCTTTTGGGGCTCGATTAATCATGCCTTTTCCTCTGGGTGCACTTACTCATGCCTGCCCTATAACCACATGCAGGAACTATGAGCTGTACTTCATGAAGGCGCAGAAAGTGCGGCGCCTGATCGCGCAGGACTTTGCGCGGGTCTTTCACGGGGGTGTGGACGTGCTGCTAACCCCGACGACGCTGACCGACGCTGCACCCTACCGCCAATTCATCCAGGAGGACAACCGCACGCGCAGCACCCAGGAGGACGTCTTCACCCAGCCCGCCAACATGGCAGGTACGGCCACGCCTGTAGCTTCTGTTGTGTGATTTTCAAGCCTCAGGGAAATGCCTGATGCTGTCCTGGTTTTCGCCCCAGGCCTCCCGGCCGTCACTGTGCCCACAGCTCTGTCCAGTCGGGGCCTCCCCATTGGCCTGCAGCTGATCGGACCGGCTCTGCATGACACCAGGCTCCTGGCCCTTGCTGCCTGGCTGCAGAAGAGGCTGTGCTTCCCTCGCTTGGAGCTGGCCGGGACGTGGGCGGAGCCCGGGGATGTGGGTGTGGCACCGGGACTCCAGGGCGCCCTCCAGGGGCACACCTGAGGACACCGGGGACGCGACGG